CTTCAGAGTCCACAAGCACTTATATTTTCTCTCTCAATCTCCACCCCTGCCCCAGCTTCCTTGCTGCTTTCTCCTCCTTTTTGTATAATATAGCAAATTACTACTTCCTGATGAGTCTCTACCTATAGCAGAGTGGAAGGATTATCTTGATCTTGTTCAACCACTCAATTCCCTTTTTCCCCATTACACAGCCTCAAGGGTGATATGGATATCTGCAGGGGAAAAAAATAGCAAATGGAAAATAAGCCTCCATTATGAGATGGCATTATCTGTAAGATGGGCCTGTCTTATAAGATGGCAAAGACAAGCGTCTGAAATAGTATTTTTACAATATTTTTTTTTTTTGCGGTACGCGAGCCTCTCACTGTTGTGGCCTCTCCCGTTGCGGAGCACAGGCTCCGGACGTGCAGGCTCAGCGGCCATGGCTCATGGGCCCAGCCGCTCTGCGGCATGTGGGATCTTCCCGGACTGGGGCACGAACCCGTGTCCCCTGCATCGGCAGGTGGACTCTCAACCACTGTGCCACCAGGGAAGCCCTACAATAACTTTATATTAAAAAAATAAACGATTGGATTTAGGAGTAGGTTGAATACATTATTCACTGAGAAGCTGTTTATGGAGTGACCGGAAAGAGCATTTACAATAGCTTTCTAATTTGTCTTCTTTTGATCTCTTTTCTCTCTCAAATCCATCTGTCATTATCAAGGTATTTATAAAATACAGGTTTGATTTAAAAATATAATTGCCCTGATTAAGAACCTTTGCTGCTTGGGCTTCCCTGGTGGCACAGTGGTTGAGAGTCTGCCTGCCGATGCAGGGGACACGGGTTCGTGCCCCGGTCCGGGAAGATCTCACATGCCGCGGAGCGGCTGGGCCTGTGAGCCATGGCCGCTGAGCCTGCGCGCCCGGAGCCTGTGCTACGCAACGGGAGAGGCCACAGCAGTGAGAAGCCCGCGTACCGCAAAAAAAAAAAAAAAGAACCTTTGCTGGATCACTATTATCTACCAAAGCAAGTCTGAATTCCTTAGCCTAATGTACAGATTCTTTTAAAATTTGGTCCATCCTACTTTTCCAAGTCCATCTGTATTCTCTGTACCAAAGACTCTATGTTCCAGTCATGCAAAGCGACAAAGTAACAGTCCCTGAACTTTTCAAATGCTACCACTCCTCTGACTTTTCTCTTCCTGTGCTTGCTGACAAACAATGCCTTGTGGCCACCTCTTCACTTGTTGAACTCCTACTAATCCTTTAGTACCCCTCCTCTGTAAAGGCCCATCTAAGAAGGATTAATTGTTCCCTCCCCTCTGCATGCTTGAGCCTTTGGCTCAGATAAATATATAACTTATTACAACAAATTCTGATTTATGTGTACAGGTCTTTCTTCTTTTGTAGCCTATGAAATCCTTAAAGGGCAAGATCATACTGTGTTCACTCTTATAATCTCAGTGACTAACGTGGAGTCTATTAGACATTCAATGTTCATTTTATCAGCGAATGAATCATTCATTCATAAAATGGCCATTCTGTACTGTTGCAAGAAAGATTTGCTCTTATCACTATTATTATTATTATTAATTAATTTATTTATATTTCGGCTGCACGTGGGATCTTCTTTGCAGCATGCAGGCTTCTCTCTAGTTGCGGCATGCAGGTTTTCTCTCTGTAGTTATGGTGCGTGGGCTCCAGAGTGCATAGGCTCTGTAGTTTGTGGTACGCAGGCTCACTTGTTGAGGTACATGGGCTCAGTAGCTGTGGCGCGCGGGCTTAGTTGCCCCTTGGCATGTGGGATCTTACTTCCCCAACCAGGGATCAAACCCGCATCCCCTGCATTGGAAGGCGGATTCTTTACCACTGGACCATTGGGGAAGTCCCTCTTATCACTATTATTAAAGCCACTAAAAGGACTGCTATCTCTTAGTCACGGCAGGGACCCTGAGAGATCACTAGGGTAAGTTCTCCCTGATCCTTCAATTTCAGGGCTGCTCAAGTCTCAGAGAATTTCTCCAACCTACCTACCTCCCTGGAATACTTATTGTTCAGTATTAGATAATGATTACTAAATTGTCCACCAGCTTTATTCTTGTGGGAAATCCTTAATTTGTTGCCTCATTCTTTTCTCAATCCTCTTTCAATGCTTCTGTCAATTGGTCAGCAATTAGTGGTCACAAACAGGCAACCCCATTTGGCATATAGTACTAAATTCAAGGTTCTTATTTTTTTCCATATTGTTGGCAATCTGGAGGCAGGAAAGAAATTCAGGATGAGGACAAATAAGGACATATGAATTAGAGAAAGGAAAAGTGCACACGGCATCATTAGAAGGGAAGGGTGATAGGCTGTCCGCTAACAGTTCTAAGGAAAATGAAAAAGACCATGCCTATAGGGAACATACTGCAATGGTTTCCACATGAAAAAAATATTTATTTACTTATTAATTTATTTGGCTGCATCAGGTCTTAGTGGCGGCACGCGGGTTTCTTTTTAGTTGTGGCGCTTGGGCTCTAGAGCATGCGGGCTTAGTCGCCCTGCAGCTTGTGGGATCTTAGTTCCCAGACCAGGGATCGAACACATGTCCCCTGCATTGGAAGGCGGATTCTTAACCACTGGACTACGAGGGAAGTCCTCACATTTTTTTCTGAGAATGAAAATCTTACTCATAAGCCTGTGGTAGAGATAGTGACTCGTCTAATGCAATATTCATTCTTTGTAACAGAACCCTGAATTCATTTGGGACAGCAGCACGTGCAGCCAAGGGACATATTGCCAGTTTCCCTGGCAGTGTGGAGGCTATAACTAAGTACTGGGTAATAAGATATAAGTGGAAGTGACATGTGGGGCTTCAGCAAGCCTGTTTAACAGTGAAAATGTGCACTCTTTTTTAGATTTTTTTCCTTCTGGTTGTGTAGAATGCAGATATAATGACTGATTTGAAGCAGCCATTTTGGACTGTGAGGAAACATACTCAGGAATGGTAGAGTAAGACAGGAAAAGTCTGAATCCCTGACACTGAGATCCACCACACCTGCAGAGCCATAGCTGTGGAACCCATCAGGATTGCCTATCTCTAGACCTCTAGCATCAGAAAAATTAACTTCTGTCTTGTTTAAGCCATAGTTATTTTAAGTTTTCTGAATTTACTCCTAATTGATAAATTACTCCTGTCCTCAAGGATCTTAAGATCCAGAAGAAGAATATTTGGCACAATGTAAAGATTTAACAGAAAGATAGGTACACAATTCTGTGTACTTACTGGATTTATGAACAATTTAGCTGCAAGAAAGTAATCTAAAATATTATTATTTTAGACCAGGGAAACTAACTAGTTAAAATCAAAATTATAAAATGTTTATGTGAACATGGAAACATGGAGACTGGTGTGGAAGAATGAATGAGGCTGTTAATATTGAATACACGTTTGGATTTTCACTTCTTACAATGACCAAGTAATACTTTTGAGGCTTCAAAAATTAAAATAGAGAACATTTTAAACTAAAAGCAATAAATGATAAATATTTCTATGAGGGAAAACTATATTGATTTATTTATGTTGCTTTTTTGAATAGGGAATTCTATAAATCTGTTTTTTTAGGACCTTGTATACCAGGATTCTCATCCCTGATCCACTAATAACTAGATGTGGAATCTTGGGGAAGTCATACTCTTTTGACCTTAGTAAAATGAAAATGTTAGTAAATGAATATTAAAGTTTCTTTCAGCACTAAAATTCTGTGAATTTGATCATACATTTGCTTCAGTGACTATCTTACTGCACCTCTCCAGTCTGATTTCTATGAATTCAAAAGTTGTTACAATGAGTTAGTAATGTAGTTCTTATGTGCCTATTTCTGAGGTGGGGTGACTAACAAATATAAATGCCATAGAAGAATAAGACAGATAACTCCAAATACCACTCTTCTCCTGTGTCTCCATAAAGGCCTTTCCATATGCATAACCTGGTATTTCCTAAGGTGCGATACTTTTTTGGTTTCATGTCTGCTCCCCTATAGATTGTGAACCCCTGGGGATGGGGGTGGAGGCAAGAAATGCATCTTCCTGGTGCCAGGCACTGGCCTGAAATACAGCAGGTGATTTTGCTGAAGAGATGAGCGAGTGAAGGAAGATTTGTATAAAAAAGACGATGATTCTAAGAGAAAATGATAACAAATCTTATGACTGGTAACTTGAAGTCTTGTCTCTTTTCTTTATAATCCAAATTTTAATTAATTTGTGACATATTCATTAGTCACAAAAACTTTACAAATTCTTGATAATTTTTGCAAGCTTTATTGGCTTTTAGGTTGTTGCCAGATTAACATAGCTGTCAAGGAAAGAAGGGCGAGCTTCATGCTGGCTTGGATCAAATGCTATTGTTCTGTCTCTGGATTATGAACTGTACTCAGGGTACCTTCAGCCCATCCTGGGAGACTGGGCAAGAGGATGGGAGGACTGTCCCACAGCTCATCTCTGGGGGACTCTGGCGGTGAAACCCCACATAAAGCCATTGTCCTAGTGAGGCTAGGCCAGTGCCATCCATGAGAACTACGGGCTACCCCTCTCTCACTGTAGTCTTATACACCATCGGAATTAATGATATATGCTCTACTCACACACCTTCCTGAGTAAAAGAAAATAAGTAAAGTAACAAAGGGCTCATGGCTTTAATGCCAACCACAATGCTGTTTCCCTGCCCTTTTCCCCGGTGACTGTCTTTCTATTCCTGAGTGGGTCCAAGAGTAGCTACTACCTAAAAGCAGGTACAGAACACCCAGTCCTTCCTTCTGAGGGCCCCTCTCCCCCACTGCTGTCTTAACAGGGGTGCCCTAAAATCAACATCATTGAACCCCTCATGCAGAACAACAGGTGGTCTGAGTGTCATTTATATATGCCTTCCTCATGGAGACTTACATCAAATTGTGTTTCAAATAGAGATATTAGGAGTTAAAAAAAAAATCAGATCACTGAATACAATAAAAGTAAAATATCGGTATTAAAGAACATACCGCAGTACCCTGGGGTTCCACATACTGTCTTCATGAGCACTTGATGTTCCACGATTTTAGAGAGTCCAAAATCAGCTGAGACAAGAAAAAAATTTAATGAAGCGAGTCTTTTCTCAGCTTTTATATGATGACAGATTACTTTTTTGTTATTCAAAGTAAAACTTATTTATTTGTATTTGACATTGGGGTGGATAGAGATAGGGGCCAGTCACCTGGGAGAGTAAACTAAAAAAACTAAATAATAATTCATGCCTTGCTTTAAATTGGAAAAAAAATACCCCATGACTCCCAAATACATGTTATGCTCTTCTCTATAATTACTAGCTTTTAGTAAATAAGCTATTTCTTCTTGAAATAATAGTTGTGACACATATATATTTTGTCTAATATTAATTCTGAGATTTGAAACTAACTCTAAAAGACAGTATAAAATTATTGATATAATTCAGAACTTTTAATCCACTGGAAGAAATCAAAATAAAAAATTAGGCTTTTGTAAATGTCAGTAAAATGAACAGAAATATCAAAGGTTTATTCTGCTTCAAAATAAATAATTTTGTTCTCTAGTATATTTGACGGATAAGAATTTACTCTTGTATGAGGAACATATAACTTTGTGCAAAAATTCTCATTTATTTCTCAGAATGGTACCTAGATAAAACATTAATAAAAGTTGCTACCATTATGGTCTATTTGCTGGGCTACATCCTTCTAACCCAGGAAACATAAGGAAACAGTTCAAGGCCATTCTTCAAGAGAGGCAGGTACAGAATTGATGCCATTTTAGACTTCAAAGATAAACCCACATTTCCATGGAGGTGCTGATCCTTATCAGAAAAAGCAGCAGGAAGTCCTTCAGAAAGAAAGGCTCTCCTGTCTAAATTAGTATCTATCCATCCATTTAAAGAAATTTCTTGAAGGATAAAATCTTTGAAAGTGATGTTAAAGGAAATGGAAGCCTCCCTGCTGCCCACTGCCTTTCAGGAGTGATTATGAGAACAAGCTGGCTGCCCAGCACGACTTCAGTATTTTTTCTTTAGGTTCTTGCATTCATAAAGCACATTATGTTGTCTGAGCTCTTCCATGATATGTACAACTTAATTTTCAAAAGTGTTAACATTTATAAATGCAGTGAACTCATCAGATTAGCATTATAAAGGACAGCGCCAAAAAAGCAATACCCTTTAGAGGATTTAATAGAGATTCTACTAAGGAGATTTCACCTAAAATAAATTTTGTAATTATTTTTGCAAACAAAGATTTGCTCTGTAAGGGACATGGAAAGTAAAATTTAATCTACGTTTTTCTAAAATGATGATTTAATGATCTCTTTGGGTAGATCAGAACTTCCCAAATCATCTTTGTAGTTCTTCAGAGTGCTTACTGGGGGAAAAAAACCAAACCAAGGTTTCCAGAGTCAAATAAAGTTTGGAAAAAGCCTCACAGACACTAATTTAGATGTCACTCTACACATTAGCATTTTTAACTTTCTCAGAAGTCCTGCAGAAATAAAAATCTTGTTTAACTGTAAGTTGGCGTTTCTTAACTTACTTGACCAAACTTAGTACCTCCACAAACCATTCCCCCCACCAAAGGGAAGGGGGAATGGTTCACTCAACTGAGGACCAGTGTTCTGTGGAGTGTACTTTGGGAAATACAGATCTCAATTTATCTCTGTTCATATAAACAAATGATTCAGAGCCCAAATTCACTGATATGTACTAAGCATTTTGTGTCAAAGTTCTTCATTACCTAAAATTAAGCTCCAACTAACTTGTGCAATAAGAAGCTCCAACTAACTTGTGCAATAAAATCACATGTAATCTGTGATTTTCTACTATATAAACTTATCTACAAAATACAAGGTCACCTCCTGAAGTCCCTGTCATTTCCGAGAGCTGTGATTCCTTTGTGTGTCCAGCAATGAAGCACCACCTTCTATGCACTAATTCAGGTAAATATTCCAGGAAAGAGCACAGACTTCCAAAATAATGCATTATTCCTTTACAGACACCAATATTTGAGGAAATTGAATGGAGGCAAAACTGGACAGAGCAATATTTACAAATTCCGTGGAATAAATTTCTTCTGCTTTGGGAAAAGGGATCATAAGACATCAGGAAACATACCAATTTTGAGTGGTGCATCTGGGGCTGGAGTTGCATAGAGAAGATTCTCTGGTTTGAGATCACGATGGACAATCCCATTTTCATGTAGGTACTAAACAGGGAAAATAAGTAACATTCATATAATTATAGTTATGGTTCCCACATTTAATCTTTCCAGAATTATAATAATTTTTACTAAGTTATGTGATTCAACAACACACATACTATGATTTAAAAATAAACACCATAAGGGAAAATATGTTTTAAACTATATGTCATTTGAGAATAGCTTACACATAATGTCCTAAAAGTGAAATGCAATTTAAATTGTATAGAACCAACTGCCAGAAATAAAATATTTACTTCTCAGAGAATATTGGTTGCAGTTCTCATATGCATATTACCATATCAGCTCAAATTGGCTAATTATTATTATTATTTTTTTTTGCGTACATGGGCCTCTCACTGTTGTGGCCTCTCCCGTTGTGGAGCACAGGCTCCAGATGCACAGGCTCAGCGGCCATGGCTCACGGACCCAGCCGCTCCACGGCACGTGGGATCTTCCCAGACTGGGGCACGAACCCGTGTCCCCTGCATCGGCAGGCGGACTCTCAACCACTGCGCCACCAGGGAAGCCCTTGGCTAATTATTATTATAATAAAGTCAAGGTGCTCTGTGTTGAAATTTGTCTGATTTATTATCTGAAAAGCATAATTGTATGTGTCATCTTAGAAGTTCACAACCATAGCAAAGATTTCTTAATTGTCATTTAACAGACATTTAGATGTAATTATTATAGAGAACTACCCTTAATATGAAAAATATTGTTTAATGACAATGAATGCTCTTATAGACCCTTCTGAGGATTAGTATATCCAGCTATCAGTATAGAGTATTATACTTGAGATTATCTTAAAAATTACCTCTAACAACTCCGTTCATTTTATTACATTTTAAATTATTTTGTAAATCATGTGTAATTAAACATGTAACATACTCTCATTGTGGATGTTAAAAGTTCTACCTGACCCTGCTTCTCTTCCAGGGGAAGCCTCAGGTCCTCTCCAAAAGCAATCATTCATCAGTTTGAAATGGTCTGAACTTTTTTCTATGCATTTACAAATATGAGTATATGTATACAAAGAAATATCCCTGATTTTTCCATTTTCTTACATCAATGTATCATTAATAAAAGTTTTTACACTGCTTTTTTTTCACTTAACATGTCTTTGAAATCTTTCCCACATGTCACCACAGCTTATTTTATTTAATCCTTGCATCCATTTTTTGTTTGATGTCCATCACTTTTTATTTTGCTATTCCCATTTTGATGGACATTCAATTTTTTAAAAATTACAAATAATGCATTAATAAACCATCAGTACTTGGATATTTGAGTATTTTTGCTGGTGTTTCTCTAGGACAGATACCTGGAAGCAGGTCTGGTGGGGTTAAAAGGTATATAGACTTTTAATTTTAATATATACTGCAAAATCACTTTCCTAAAAGACTCCATCAGTATTTACTCACATAAACATTGTAAGTGTATATGTTTTCCTAATATCTTTACAAAATTTATATTTTTAACTTTTGCTGAGCTGGAGTATAAAAATTATACCTTAAGTTTTGTTTAATTCGTCTTTCTCTGTTTACTGGTATAGTCTAGCTTCTTTTCATACCTTTACTGGTTTTCCTTTTCATAAAATGCCCATTCAAATCCTTTGCCTATCTTTCTGTTGGGTTAAGAGAAAAAGTTGCCAGGGTGCTGTAGTTTTTCTCCTTTCCAATCTCATAGGGGAAGGGAGGAAGTCCTTCTTTCTTTCTACTCAAGCCAAGTAAGAGGGGATAAACAGCTTCAAGGTCACTTGACATGTGTCACTTAGTGATTTGGGGAAATAGGGACTGATTGGGACTGGCTCACTCATGAAAAACTGGAAAATGGTTGGAGCAGGTGATTGAGGAGAGAGGGTCTCAGTGAGATTCAGCTGCCCTCAAATAATAGCTGGACAAAGAAGCACATTCCTCATGGGCCCAGTGTGGACTGTGCAGAAGGGAATCAGATACTAGTCTCCCAGAAGAGGTCCCTTTGCTGGAGTGTTTCCTGCTGGGATGATACCACCTCATCTCAGCATCACAGAAAGCAGAACATGAGGGAGGTGAGAGTAGGCAGCTGAAGGGCCACTCAGATCACCTGAAGTGAGAGAACTGTCCTGCAATGAGTCTCTGTAGAGCTATCAATGGTGTCCCATAGAGAAAGAACAACAGGCATTTGTAACCTGCCACACCCAGAGATCACTGGTGCCAGCCCAGAACTGTGCCCATCTGGTAAGACCAAGTCTTAACCCTCCATCTCCTAACCCACTCACTCTTCATCATTGCCTTCACATCCCAACCCTGGAAGGACCACAATCAGCATCTAGCTTGTTGAAAAAGAGCAAGAAAAAAAGAAGAAACTAACAAGAATTCCTACCCCCTATGTTTATAAATTACAGATCCCAAGGTGGGGAAGGGAAGAAGTTTAAAACTGGATGAGTCTTAAATTTTGGTCTTGTCATGAAAAGATGCTCAACATTGCTAATTATTAGAGAAATGCAAATCAAAACTACAATGAGGGCTTCCCTAGTGGCGCAGTGGTTGAGAGTCCACCTGCCGATGCAGGGGACACGGGTTTGTGCCCCGGTCCGGGAAGATCCCACATGCCACGGAGTGGCTGGGCCCGTGAGCTATGGCTGCTGAGCCTGCGCATCTGGAGCCTGTGCTCCGCAACGGGAGAGGCCACAACAGTGAGAGGCCCGCGTACTGAAAAAAAAAAAAAACTACAATGAGGTGCCACCTCACACCAGTCAGAATGGCCATCATTAAAAAGTCTACAAATAACAAATGCTGGAGAGAGTGTGGAGAGAAGGGAACCCTCCTACACTGTTGGTGGGAATGTTAAGTTGGTACAGCCTCTATGGAAAACAGTATGAAGATTCCTCAAAAAACTAAAAATAGAATTACCATATGATCCACAATCTATTCCTGGGCATATATCTGGACAAAACTATAATTCAAAAAGATACGTTACCCCTATGTTCATAGCAGTACTATTCACAATAGCCAAGGCATGGAAACAGCCTAAAGGTCCATTGACAGAGGAATGGATAAAGAAGATGTGGTACATATATACAATGGAATACTACTCAGCCATAAAAAAGAACGAAATAATGCCATTTGCAGCAACATGGATGCAACTAGAGATTATCATACTAAGTGAAGTAATTCAGAAAGAGAAATACGAATACCATATGATATCACTTATATGTAGAATCTAAAATATGACACATGGGCTTCCCTGGTGGTGCAGTGGTTGAGAGTCCACCTGCCGATGCAGGCGACACGGGTTTGTGCCCCGGTCCGGGAAGATCCCACATGCCGTGGAGCGGCTGGGCCCGTGAACCATGGCCACTGAGCCTGCGCGTCTGGAGCCTGTGCTCCGCA